TGACGTCTGTACTGCTATACACGGCTGGGATTTGATTAACAGCCTTCTCTAAATACATGTGTCTTCTGAAGGAAGCCTTGGGTAGGAAACTTCATCGGACGTAAGGAAGCCTGGGGGTGCTTTCTGTTGCTGCTTAAAACTTCTGCATCATGCTCAACCATCCACTTGAGCAAACTCACCTCTGGGCCACTAAAATACTGCTGACTTAAATGTTTTGTGGTTTTGATGGGATTATACACATTAAAAGCGGCCTATAGAAGGAGCGAGTAATTTGTTATTCTGCCTTCACCATTTCAGGTTACAAAACAAACCCTGTGCTGTGCTGCCAATCCACGTTTGTCACATTTTTGTGACAAAACTTCCAGCAAAGCAGTTCTACCCACCAGTCAGACTGCTGTGGTAGACAGCCGTGTTTTTGTAGAGATGAAGAACAGGTGTGCAGAGGTCAGAAGACAGTGGTTTTCTGCCTTGTTTTCTTGCAAAGTAGGTTATCTGCTGTTCGTGAACAGTTCAGCTCGAATCTGAGGCTGTGTGCAATTGGCATTTTCCACGCTCGGACAGTTTCTAAGGAGCGATAATGCTTTGGTGAGGAGTTGTCACCAAAATAAGTCAGGCCAGCAACCAGCAGATCCTCAGAGAGCCGTCTTAACGAGGCAGTGGCTAAGACTTTCTCAGCTGGTTCTTGGATCAGTTTGCTGAGAAGGCTGACCAGAGTTACAGCCGGTCTCCAGGGAGTTAGGCTGCTGCTCTGCCACTGCAGACAAATCTGACTGAAGTTGTGTTGCGTTATTGCTTGTACCACCCTCTGCCAGTAGGAGCGGATTCCTTCCTCAGTGTGGGGAAGGAGCCTGCACAGGCTGGTGACCTTTGCAGTTTTTGAAGCTCTAATTTTCTGCTATTCTGAGTTCGAGTGAGGGCTAACCTTTGAGCAAATTCCATTAATGAACACAGTATCATCACATCTTTTCTATCAAGGCATTTCTGATGTGCACACAGAACCGTTTTGCTTTTGAGCTGCTTACTGTATGTTGCACAGGCAAAGTGAGAGACATGGGTGAGTCGCATAGGTTGTATAGCAGCCGATTCTAACTTTTTCATTCTTATTTTCTCCATAGCAATTGCTAGAAGGTGTAGCGAGCAAAATGAAAGCCCCTAAAAAAATCCATTGGATTGACAAAGCAAACCATGGGATGGCAGTCAAAGGACGAACAACAGATGATGTCATGGAAGAAATAAATGCACAAGTTTTTTCTTGGCTGAGAGAGAACGTTGAACCGGGGCACAAATGACTTGCAGAGCTCAAGCAGTATCTTCATTTACCTTTTCCTAAATGTGGCAAATTAGAGTTTGTTATTTCTGAGAAGCTTATTTTTAAAATGGATAGTTTCAGAGGTCTAAGTGTAAATGGAAATAAAACTTTTTTGTATAAATGAAAAAAATTATGCAAAACAATAAAGAACTTTTTAAAGGGAGGACAGAAAATTTACAAAATGTCTAATATCATGGCAGCTAATATCATGTTTTCTGTTTCTATGCAAAGAACTGTATGCAACACAGTAATGCAGAGCACTAACTAAATGTGTTTGACTAATATTTGAAGCAACATACTGGAAAAAAAATTGATTTTGACAGCAACTGTTTTGGTGTATTATGTTTCTGAGTACGTTACTGATGCTGTACTCTTTTGAAATTAAAACCTGATTTGTAGAAACACCCCTGAGGGTGGCCAGCACAAGCTGTAGTATGCTCCCCAAACCAGTGACGCTTCTGTTGTTTGTCAGAAGACGCCTCAAGAATGCTGATCTCCCAGCAGTGAAGTTGTTCAATAAGCACAGCACACATCTAACCACTTGCCAAGAAAATAACCATGTGGTTTTGAAATTGCCTGGCTGCATTACAGAGAAAATAAATCTTCACTTTCAAGTGGAAACATACGCACTAACTTTAGAATTTGATGAATTTAGACTTCACTTTAAATCCACCTATGGATCATTTTCAGGTGTTGATATGCTCAGAAAATAAGAGCTTAGTATCAGTGGAAAGCAGGTATTTTAAGAATAGACTAGACTGTTCAAGCAATGATCAGTTTAGTTTCAGTAGTCACTGCTCAGTGCTACTTAATTCTTTTCACATTGCCAAAGAGACCAAATTTTACATCCAAACATCTGTGAAAAATCATACAGAACTTAATTATCTAATATTCCAAAAGTGTCCAATAGCACTGTGTTTTTCCTTCAGGTGAAAAAGATGCATTATAAACCCCACATCATTGTCTTTGAGAATACCAATTCTCTCAGAAGGAACAAAGTTATGGTTTGAAAAAGACAACTTCCAATAGGAATAGATTTACAATTCTTATCTGCCCTTTTTTGCAGAAGACGCTTGTGAACAGACTCAGTGTAACAAGCATGAGTAGAAAGTATCTGCAGTTCCAAGGTATCTCAGGACAGTAACACGTGACTGATATAAACATGGTTTTTATTTAAAAAAAATTATAAAAATGGTTTTGAACAAGGCTCTGCAACCACTGCATGATAAAAAAGGAAATAGGAGGTACTTGGTTTTCTTCCCTATGTAGATCATGATACAGTAAACTTCATAATATCCACTGACATTGGCATTTTAATCCAAATTTTTCTTCTTTCCTTAAGAAGGCATTCTTAATGTAGGTAAATATTAAAAAAAAATATTTATTTCCGTCAGAGTTCATCTTTGGCCTGTAGTGAAGAAAGAAGAAACATTTTTTAGTTAATTGGAAACTCTTTTTTTAACTGTCTAGTCCTGCAAATACACAAAGAAATGTTTCTAAGTCTGACAGGCGTTAATGGCCTGGTAACCGATACCACGGGCTACTCAGCAATGCCTGTTCCAATCTGGTTGAATAAGAACTGAGGACATCCAGCACTTTACATTTAACACTGTACGTACTGTACCTTTTTTCTGTGGCAGGTACATGGAAAAAGGTCATCATCGGGCTGCTGCACCTTCTCCATCCCATCTCTGATTTTTGGCTCGCTCACTTGCAAGCTGGCATATTCCTAGTTTTGAAAAAGGAAGGTGTCATTAACTCAAACTTGTTAGATGGTACACCTGCTTGTAAATATTGCACCAGCTCAGCCGAGCAGTTCTGTAGGAGCTCAGGGGCTACGCAGTCTTACTCCACGCTGTGTCTCAGGCAGGGTAAGCAGATACTGAACGGCAGAGGAGCCCCTTGGGTGCCTCACTGGAGTTGCGGCCCCTCGGTGCCAACGCACAGGTATTTTCAGCGGTGGCTCACAGGGCGTGCGCCTGATGTGGAATTCTTTGACCGCTGTGGGCAAAGTGTGCTTGCAGATTAGATCAAGATGTGTGGGCTCTCACTGCTTCTCTCAAACCGCCAGTGTAATCTCAAGGGGTTTCACAGGCATTAACTGCATGCAGTGTTTGTAAACCAACTGAAGTTCTTAATTGCTGCTGCTTGCTTTGTGGCTTCACCTACTGGACTGGCCAACTTCCAGCAGCTCTGCTGCCCTGAATTCTTTCTGTAGATTTCTATTTTTTCTATTTTCTGGATTTCTATTGTTGTGGTAGTAACTGTTAAAAATATACTAACCTGGAAAAGTTTGAAATAATAACAAAAAATGTGGTCTCCCATGAGATTGTTTCTTGCAAATTCTTGTCCAGATTTTGCGATATTTTTTGCCTGTCAAAGAAAATAAAACTTTTTTTTAAATTCTCAAAAAATAGTAGTCATTTCAGTATTGATTTTGGAGTTAAGTATAGTGTTGATAGTTTAGGATAACATCTATTTTTATTGTAAGGCATTCTTATGTAAATACTCTGATTTTTCCAAAGTTTGATTTACTTTCAAATTCAGGGTGGTATTATGTATTTTTTAAAAGTGTTTGTCTTGTTTGTAGAGTTGATGAAAATAATTTTCACGTCCTTCTAATAGATTTTTTTTGTTTGAAAGAAATGCATTTTTCACTTTCTATATTTTGTCTAGAAACGTTGCTGAGTACTCCTAGATGAATATTTACCTCTTCGTCATGCTCTTTTGCCCACTGTAGCTTTTCTAGTAGATCACTCAGGTCACTTTTAAAAGGAATATAATGTTTCCACGGCTGCAGCTCATTATAAAAATGCTCATAGTAGATGGAGTCTTGCTTGAGCACCACACTGTTTCCTGCTAGTAGATAAGGCAATCTGTATGCTGCCACTGTGCCATCAATATTAATTTGATATTTATACTGGAAAGAAAAGGACCGTAAGTTATTAACAAACAGAAGATCCAGGTCGCTTGGTTAGGTTATATTATTCTGAGGGCACTGGTATTACTGACTTGCCGATATTGAGAAATGTAGGATTGGCTAGGCAAGCATCAATGCTTAACTAGCGTTTATTATTTAGTTTGGAATTCACCACAGTGCAGGGTACACAGAGATGCCCTCTTCATCAATTAAGTTCTCCGGAAATTCTTAGACGCTCATCCTCGGATGCGAGGGTAGATGTGCCACTTCATCCACTGATTTCCCCACTATGTTAGTTATGTTAGTAGTCCTGATCGCTGAATCAGGAAAAAGAAATAAAAAGGAACTTGGAGTTACATAGATTACACAAGGTTCTACAGAACCTTCAGATGTAAACCAAACATTATTATCCTCAGCGTAAGAGCTACACAGCAGTTAATCCCGCTGGTGGGATGCCTACTCATGCTTGTTACTGCTGTTATGCTGAAAAACTAGAAATCACTTTATTATCAGTAATACATCCAAAGTTATTTGATAGTGGGAAACACCGAGAACCTAGTTCTATGTAAAATGGTTAGTGGCTTACCTTAAAAAAATCAAAAAATGAAATGTGCTTAACAATGGGCCCATAGAGGCTTTCATCATGTTTAAAAAAAAAGAAGTTTGTGAAAGCAGCGTCTATGATCTCTGGGTATTTTCTGCTCAGTTTTACAAGTTCAAGCCTCTCTTTGCGGCTGTCACGTCCTCTCCAGAATGCTGTGGTATTCTTGTCTTCCCACGATGGGCCAGTATTTGCTTGAACTGACAACATATCCAGACTGACTCTGGAGGAGAAAGAAGTGATGTAATAGTGAAGCCTACTGGAAATTTTTTAAGTGCAATTATTTAAAAGAATTTACAGGACCAACAGGCAAATACCAAGGATGAAGGTTAAGTCATGAGCACACCTGTATATGTATTGTATCTGTATTTTTGCAGCGATAAAAATAGGTAAGGAATGTCAAGTTCACAGGCCTGTGGCAAGACAGCATCAGTTCAACGACAACGTGGTGTGTGGAAAGAATACCTGTCATCTGTCATGGAAAAAAGTAGTTAAAAGTGGATACAGTTGCCAGACAGAAGAAGGTGATGCAGGATGCTGCAACAGCTGATAATGGTGATGAACCAATCGTGATAGTCCAAAGCAAGGTTTTTCCGTAACTAGCTTAATACAACGTATTTCATGTTCTTAAAAATTTTGCTAAATTGAAACACATAAATTGAGGGAGCAACGGGGAGCAAAATTAGGAAAAGTCTTCATAATAGAGACAAGGAACCTGAACTAAATGCAGTGAAATGATAAACAGGTTTGAAATGGGTTACAAGGATCTCTTAGAAGCTGGCTTTGCAGTGTTTCAAGACAGCGACAGAGCAGTTACGAAGGCCAGCTGTGGTCACTAATCAAAGTGGGAGGTGGCAGGTTCTAGGTTGAGAGTTCTGGCTACCTTGGGCTTTAAAATGCACAGAAAAAAGATTCTAGGAAAATCAGGAAAAAAGACACCTGGCCAGTTGTCAACATGTTCACGGGGGAGGGGAAACAAAGCAAACAAACAGAATACCTGCCCTTGAAACATTCCCTCCAAGTGCTGTTTTCAGTGACTTCACCATGTTTAGATTAATTTTGATGTTTGAAATGAAACAGTGAAGTATTTTAATACATGTAATTTATGTTATCCAATATATAACTTGGTTAATGCTAAGATATTGATTATGCAGTTATCGCCCACCTATCAGGTGCTAATGTCTCAATGAATAAATAAGGAGCAAAACAGTTAATATACTGTTAATACAAGTATCTTTCTCGAAGTGAATTTTGTGAAAATTTTAGGCAATTTCTTACCGTCCCATAGTCTCCAAAACAGAGTCTGTTAAGTCATATGTTGGCATGACAATGTCTTTTGACTCACTGGACCCACACCATGAGAAGATGGGGTGCAGGTTCTGTGGGATCTTCTTTTTCTCCAGAGGCCAGTCTCCCAAGTTAACAAAAAATTCTACATCTGGCATTTTCACCTAAAAAGAAGCAAAGTAGGCACAACTGAATTTTAATACAAAGCAGTATTCTTCTGCTGGCATCTTGCATTTTGAGAACAACCTCACTAAGGGAAAAAATAGCCAAGTCTAATGTACTTAATGCACCTGTAATAAATAGTTAGTTCAGAA